GAGTTCAGGGGGAACAGAAGAAGGTACCACCCCTGAACCTGAGGTAAGTAATGATAGAGGAAACAGCATGAATGTGAATCCTCCTGGCTCCTCAGAAGAAGGAGAGATCCATGAACATGCTGGTTCCCAACTTAATGAGAAAGCACAAAACAGTCTTAATTTTAAAAGTTATAGATATCAATCTTCTCATCCCACTGATCAAATAATTAGTGATATAAATAAGGGGATTCAAACGAGAACAAATGTTTTTCAAAACTTTTGTGCTTTCTATTCTTTCCTGTCTAATGTAGAGCCTACTGACTATAAAATGGCATTGACTGATCCTGATTGGGTACTAGCTATGCAAGATGAGTTAAATCAGTTTCAGAGGAACCAGGTTTGGCACCTGGTTCCCCGTCCCAAGGAAAGATCAGTCATTGGCACTAGATGGGTCTTTAGAAACAAGTTAGATGACCTTGGTACTATAGTCAGAAACAAAGCAAGGCTAGTGGTGCAAGGGTACAATCAACAAGAAGGAATTGACTATGATGAGACGTTTGCACCAGTAGCTAGGCTAGAGGCTATTAGGATTTTAATTGCTTATGCTGCTCACATGAATTTTAAGCTGTTTCAGATGGATGTAAAGACTACCTTCCTCAATGGATATTTAAAGGAAGAAGTATATGTGGAGCAGCCACCTGGTTTTGAAGATGCACTGTTCCCCCAACATGTGTACAAGTTGGACAAAGCATTATATGGGTTGAAACAAGCTCCGAGGGCTTGGTATGAAAGATTGTCCAATTTCTTGATGGCAAATGATTACAAGAGGGGAACAGTAGACAAGACCTTGTTCATAAGAACCAGGGGGAAACACTTGATTGTAGTACAAATTTATGTTGATGATATTTTATTTGGTGCTACTAATCAGGTTTTATGTGATGAATTTGCTAATCTTATGCAGAGTGAATTTGAAATGAGCATGATGGGAGAACTAGGATTCTTCCTAGGGTTGCAGATTAAGCAAATGGATGATGGAATAATGATCCATCAACAAAAGTACTCAAAAGAGTTGCTGAAAAAATTCGGCATGGAGAACAGCAAAGCTTATGATACACCTGTTCCCCCATCTACAAAATTAGATGCTGATCTTAAGGGAAAAGATGTTGAAGCTTCCCTTTATAGAGGAATGATAGGTTCTCTACTTTACCTAACAGCTAGTAGACCTGACATTGTGTTTTCTGTTGGTTTGTGTGCTAGGTTTCAAAGCAATCCAAAGGAATCTCACTTGAAGGCTGTTAGAAGGATACTTAGGTATCTTGTAGGAACATCAAATCTGGGATTGTGGTACCCCAAAGGCAGTACCATTGATCTTATTGGATACACAGATGCAGATTATGCTGGTTTCTTAGTTGATAGAAAGAGCACATCAGGTATGGCACACTTTCTTGGCTCTTGTCTAATTTCATGGGGTTCTAAAAAGCAAAATTCAGTGGCCCTATCCACAGCAGAGTCTGAATATATAGCTGCAGCTTCATGCTGTTCCCAGCTACTGTGGATAAGGAACCAGCTGAAAGATTTTGGTGTTATTTATAAAAGTGTTCCTATTTTTTGTGATAACACTAGTGCAATCAATATTTCAAAGAATCCTGTGCAACACTCCAAGACAAAACACATTGAAATAAGACACCATTTTTTAAGAGACAATGTGGAAAAAGGATTGGTGGAGATGTTGTTTTGTAAAAGTGAAGATCAAATTGCTGATATCTTCACAAAGCCTTTGTGTAGAGAGTCTTTTTGTAGGTTAAGAGTCCTTTTAGGTCTAGTTAGATTTTAGGTATTGGCTTCAATTACTTCCTTCAATGATTGGTTAGAATGGTATTCTCTTGTATAGTGTGTGTACATACTTATGTTGATATCTTTCAAGTGTTGTGTAGATGGTTCAAAATCTCAAAAGGATTGAGAATAATTGTTGTAAGAAACAGGTGAAATCAGGCTGAATTGCCAGAAACAGCGTGACATGGTTTTATACAGGTACCAGCAAAGGGAAACAGCAGACCAGCTCTGATATGTCATCCAATAATATCTTTTATTTTCGGAAGATTACTATAAGATATTTCCTTTTGGAAGGAATTTATCTTATTTCAGTTATTTAATCCCATATAAAAGGCAAACATATCATATGCCTTATTTATAGTTGGTTGAGATAATTATGGTAAAAGATAATTACCAAATTTTTGATTTCAATTTAAAAAAAAAATAAAAAAAATATCCTTTACAGTTGCTTTTTATTGGCTCAACTAACTCTTTTCTTTCCTCTTCTCTCTTTGTGCTTCATTGTTAAAAATATACACTAACCCTTTGTGCAGATCATCAATCATCATCACTCGAAATTCTCTCTCTCTCTCATATGCTTTAAATTCATCATTGTTCATTCGGTTACTGTTCACTCAAGGAACCAGCTCAGTCTCAGGGGGAACATCAGATGGAAGCATAAGTGTCCTTAAGCCCGAAGTTGGAGGAAATTCAGAAAATTCAGAGTGAAGAGGATGAAATAGAGATTGTTGGTTATTATGAGGAGACACCCATTGCTAAGACCATGGTACGAAGTAGAGTAACTCAATTAAAGAAGTTCACTGAGAAGGTGCAGGAGGAACAGTCCATTGACGCTGTTCCAGGAACCAAGAGAAAAAGGGTACCAGCAAGAACCTCCTTGCTTGATTGATGTGATGCTAGTTTTGCACTCGTTATGCAACAAGGAGAACATTCTGAATCAGTACATATCTCTCATGATTTCTTAAAAAAAAAAAAAAAAAAAAAAAAAAACAAAAAAAAAAAAAAAAAAATAGAGGAACCAGCAGGTCAGGAAGTGGTTCTGAAACAGATTGGAGAACCATGAGAATATGCTTAGTAAGATAATGAGATTGGTTCAAGTAGAGCATGATGACAAGGTTGAGTGGGATGAAGAGGAACCAGATGATGATGCAGAAGATGTTGCAAAGTTCGAGGAGGAGGAAGGGAACGAGAATGATGATGAGGAGTGATGCTGTTTCTGTTCTTGTTTCCTCACCCTCATGTTTATTCTAAAATAACTGATTTTGTTGGTCTGTCTACTTCTTTCCATTCCATGAACTTTCTTTTTGGATGGATTTGGGCTTCTTTGGTTGAACTTTGTTGGCTTGTATGAACTACTAACTCTGCTATGGTATGAACTGTTTGACTAATCTCTTTTTGCAGCATAATGCTTGAATGGTGGTTGATGCCATTGTATGGATAAGCACATTAACTTGTGCACATTGCTTTTACTTGTGGATACTTTTTAATGATGCCAAAAGGGGGAAGTAGTTTGAAGTTGAAGCCTAAGGTTTAGCTAGTTTAGATTGAGTCAGTTTGAGGTTTAGCTAGTTTAGATTGAGTCAGTTTGAGTCTTTTTATTTCGTATTTTCTATTTTCTGTTTAGGGGACCAGTTAGCCTAACTGACTTGTTCCAAAGAGTTTTGAGTCCTTGAAGTTTTTGACGGTTTTCTTTTTGAGCATGTCCACAGGTTCAAGAACTTCAAGAGTTTGTCATCATCAAAAAGGGGGAATTTGTTGAGTCCCTTAGGTTTTGATTGATAGTTTTGAATGATGACAAACAGCTAAGGGAAACAGGTCCTTGAAAGTGTTCGATACAGTTGGGGGAACCAGCTAACATAGAACACTGTATCCCCAGACAAGTTATTACTTACATGAGTTTTCTTATTGAACTAACTTGTCTTTATACAGGGAACAGTTATATGATAAAAGTGTTATGTACTGGTAGGGAACCAGTATGTACTGTTTCCATGGTTGCTACGTGGTACAGCAGTCACTTACTTTATATTGTGCATTAACCTTATTGATTGTGCAGAATATAAGTTGATTCCAAGTCTTGAAGCAGATAGGACTTTCGAAGAGATTGAAGAAAGTTCCATTGGTTACAATTGAGGTTATCTAAAGAAGGTTTTCAAGACTTGAAGTTTACATGAAGGAAGATCCACATCAAGAAAGAGCTTTTTAGGATCTTCATGTAAATGCTCCGTAGTATGGTTTATTAATGGATATATAAAGTGCTTTAAATATATCGAGCATCGTTGTGAAATTTGGTACAAGGATTGGAACAAATTTCATAACATGTTCAAGTCAGGGAACCAGGTCTGGGGACCAGGTTAACTGATCAGGTTATTAGAGCTGCGATTTTAAAAAGATTTTATAAAAAGATTTTTTATTGAAAATTCAGTTTTGAAAATATATCTTGGCAGCTGTAAATAGATGTGATATAATCTTTAAATACCTAAAAACTAGGAGTAATTATCTTGAGTTGATTTTATCTTATAATAGAATCAATTAAAGATAAATACTTACCTAAATCATGTTTATCTTATTGGCATGATTTATGGTAACTAGGGTTTCGGTTTTCTAAGACTATAAATACAATCTATTCGCTAATAATCTGAATAGATCTCTCACACGCATAAAAAGGAGTTTTTCATTATTGAGAGCAAAAGCACTAAATCCATTATTGAATCATATACAAGAGCATCTAGTGTTTAATATTTTCTCTACATTAACTTTTGAGAGTTAGATCATTAGAGAGTTTTGATCTTGTAATTGAGTCTTTGGCAAAGAGGCTAAAGGCTGGGTGAGTGTTTGTGAGTTCAAACACGTTTAGAACTTACGAGTGTAAGTTGAGAGCATACTCGGAGTATAGTGTGGGGTTTGCTGGTTCCCGGAGTAGGGAAACAGCAGAGTGTTCTTTGTCTTTGTTTTTCGGAGTAGATTAATAAAGAACTTAGGATAGGAGGACGTAGGCCTGAGTTGGCTGAACCTCGTTAAATTTGTTGTCTTCTTTATTGCTTATTTATATTCCGCTGCATAAGGGAACCAGCACAACTGGTCCCTTAACCATAATTCGAAAAGAAGCAAAATTAGCCAACGATTACTTAACACTCAATTCACCCCCCCCCCCCCCCCCCTCTTGAGTGCCCATTGAACCTTCAAAGTATACATTTTGCACTTCTTGGTCGTTTTTGCTTTAGGACAAGACATATATCCAGGCGAATCTATCACCATAGACGACAGAGCAATAACCTCTAGAAATGGCGTTTTTGCATTTGGCTATTATTATGACTATGAGACTGCTAGCATATGGTACAACAAACTTCCTGATCAGACTAGTATTGTGTGGACAGCGGACGAGGAATATTACCTTGAGAGCAAACTGCCCCAACTTAATCTGTCTCATCAAGGTAACTTAACATTCAACGATGGCGAGGTATATTTCATGGTGAGTTGGTCAAGCAGATCTGGTAATCTGGTACTTAAGTGTATTTCAGATCCCAACATCATCCTCTGGCAGAGTTTTGATCATCCTACCGATACGTGGTTACCTGGTGCCAAGGTCGGATTCAATAAGCTTACTAACACACAACAAGTCTACGAATCCGGTATATTCTCTTTTCAGATGGATAACAATACATTCAACTCTATTAGTCTTAATAATGGCTCCTGTAGGGTTAAAGAAAAATCTATCTTTTGTATGTTGGAATTAGGCTGGTATAATGGTCAAGCAGACATGGTTCTGTTTGACCACACCTCCGTCTCCCTCGTGTCAAATGTGAACGAGACATATTTTACTTATTCACTGACAAACACCTCCATTTTAACACGATTTATGCTCAACAAAGCCACTGGGTTGTTAATTCAATATATGTGGGATGATTCCCAAGTCTGGATGCCATCTAACTGGAGGTTAGCTGACACATTTTGTGATCAATTTGCAGTCTACAACAACCACCAAGGGATTGACTCGCAAGATTGCACATGCTCTTCTACAGCTAAATGTCCACGTACAAGTCCTTTCCAATGTTATGATGGGACAAAAGATGGTTTTCTACTGCTTCAGAATTCAACATTTCCTTCGGACAATGGTCTTCCTATTGGAGGCCAAGATGATTGCAGTAGATTTTGTATGCACGATTGCAACTGTGAAGCATATGGAAGATATGATGATCACATTAACGCGTGCCACATGTGGTATAGCCTGTTAGACCTAGACCTATATTATTCTCCAGGATCAGATATATATGTCAGACTTGCTACAACTAATGGGATCAAGGTAAGAAAGGCTAAGCCGAGAAGTAATTCTTCAGTTGTAGGAGTAGCTCTTTGTGGATTATGTATAATAGTCATAGTCGTAGTTGTTTTCGTTTGGAAAAGCAGAAGAAAAAATTATGTAAATGCATTGCAAGCAGAGGAGGGTTCTTTAAATTTCATGAAATACAGTGCTCTCCGTCGTGCAACAATGAATTTTTCATGTAAATTGGGTGAAGGAGGGTTTGGTTTTGTCTACAAAGGAACCTTGCCAAATTCATCGTGTGATATAGCTGTGAAGCATCTCAAGATCCAAGGCCAGGGAGAGAAACAATTCAGAGCAGAGATAAGCACCTTAGGAACAATTTATCATTCCAATCTTGTGCATCTTTGGGGTTTTTGTGTTGAAGGCTCAAAGAGGTTTCTAGTCTATGAGCATATGCCTAATGGGTCGCTTGACGGGCATATATTTTGTGATAACCCCGGAAATTTAGATTGGACAACAAGATACAAAATTGGACTAGGGATTGCAAAAGGGTTGGCCTATCTACACAGCGGGTGCAGGGAATGCATCATACACTGGGACATAAAGCCAGAGAATATACTGCTAGATGACGAATATAATCCCAAGATTGCTGATTTTGGCCTTGCAAAACTTCTATGCAGAGACTTCAGTCGAGTGCTGACAACTATGAGAGGAACAAGAGGCTATCTTGCACCCGAGTGGATTTCAGGTGCACCAATTACATCAAAGGCTGATGTATACAGCTACGGAATGATGCTTTTTGAGATTATATCTGGCAGGAGAAACTGGTCCATAAGAACCAATGGGGAAAACGATTACTTTCCAATCCAGGTGATGCAGAAATTGATGAGTGTTGAAGATGTTATAAGCTTGATAGACAGTAAACTAGGAGAAACTGTCAATTCAGAAGAATTAATCAGGACTTGCAGAGTTGCAGGCTGGTGTATCCAAGAAAATGAGGAAGATAGGCTGTCCATGGTAAATGTCGTACGAATTTTGGAAGGAGTCACACAAGTGGCTAATCCTCCAATTCCAAGATTTCTGCAACATGTTACAGAAATCCCGGAGGATTCTACAGCTTACCATACATGCATTGTTGAGTGATAAATAACCAACTCGTCAAATTACAGTGAATGAAAATTTCATATTCATTTGTAAAACTGTAATAGGCCATATCCATGTTGCTAGGTATAATTGGCAAAATTAAGGCCAAAGTTTCCTTCCTATGTTTGTCTGAACGTACTCCTAATTTGCTGTGATAGCTAATGGATACGTACAAGACTCAAAATTGTATTTCTTTGTCAAATGCAGACATCTACATTTCTTTTGTTTGAGTGAAAGTTGCACTTAGAGTTACTTATCTTCCATAGAAAAGATGTTATCATATATATGTACTAGTACTAGTTTTTTTTAGTGATTGTTAGACAAGTATATCAATAATCAACCCTCTTAATCTGATGTTCTGTTTTAGGTAAAATTTTATTGATGTAGAATTATGTTAAGCTACACAAATTAACATATGACTAATGCAATTATATCAATAATACATAGATTATGACTCCGACAAACATATACTTCTTCCATTAATTTTCCACCGCAACATATATTGTCCATAATGAATGTATCTAAATATTCATAAATACATAATGCGAAAATTCAAACAAATACATTTCCCCTACCATGCGTTTTTTTTTCCTTTTTATTAAATGCAGTCAATGAAATTTTGCAGAGATTGGCCTAAAAAAAGAGAAGCGAAGAAGCTACAAGGTTGCTGAATTGAACAAAATTATGTTCAACTTAATTAATGTTGACGCAAAAATCAGACAAAAATATGCTCCAATTTGAAAAGTAATCCTCTTTTAGCTACAGAGTATACTCTGTTAGCAAATTGAATAATGCTTAAGCTTAACTTATAGTTGCACAAATTTCTTCCTCACATTCCTTGTACAAAATTTGTCGAAAATAACATAAAAAAATATAGTACCATTAGTGAGATTATAATATGGAGCACTAGCTCTATTCCTCCCCTACTAAGATTGCCTTATTTAATTTAAATTACCCTTTATTAAGAGTTGTATCGAACATGTGGGTAGTTTTGTCCTTTTCTAGAAAGTGGGGTAGGAAATAAAGTAGAGGGAGATCGTGAAGGTCTTTTGGGAACATATTAGTGTTACTAAAGAGAAATGATGAAACTTGAAAACACGAATCAAAAAAGAAATTGGTGCAATCTTTAGGATATTTAGGGACTACAAAGTATTAATAATAATGTCGACTATCTCCAACAAGATAGATGAGGTCAAAGTGCCTAATTAAGGCGCGTAATTGCAGTCCTTGTTGAATAGTTGCAAAGATAGGACTAAGAATTCTTTGGCAAAGATCGATTGTTTTTTACTTCCTAGTCAACGTACAAGTTTTCAACTTGACGTTGCACAGCAAGTTTCTTCACTCACATCTATCCCTACCTCTCTGCTCTTTGCTAGTGCTTAAATCCATCCTTGTTTGTTTTTTTTAAAAAAAAAAACACGTTTATGGTTAGTGGTACATGCATAAATACAAATATTTCACTTTTTAATAATTATATTATGATTATGCTAAAGTAAAGTAGCCTTCTTCCCATGATTAACCACGACTATAGAGTTTCATCACATGCATGGCAATATATTGTCTCATATTCGGCAAATGTGGTAAAATTTGACCATTAATAAAGTCTCAAATGCGTCAGTTTTATGGTAGAAATTCGAGTTTACATATGTTTCGGGTGAAAATAATGGGACCTTGCCGAAGGTCCGCTGAAACGGAGAAGGCTGGATTCGGTCCAAGTTATGTTGAGCCGAAGGTTTCCTGCACAGTAAACACACGTAAACTAGCCTCGGGGGTGTTGCCGAGGAAGGCCCCTCCGATGCTAAAGTCAGTACAATATGTAAGAAGGGGACACTATGCAAGAGAGTTTGTTGCTTGAGGCTTTAATGAATATATCAGAATATATGAATGAACATATGAATGAACATATGAATCAACCTATAAATGTATCAATATATGATGGCTTTTATACCTCATCATACATGGAGAGGTTGGGCCTTAGCCCAATTGGCTTGCTTTGTGGGCTGACCTTTGACTTTAGCACAATTGGAGAGTTGAACCTTGACCTTGGGCTTTTAATTGGATCATTTAATATCTAGGCCCAATTGGACTAAATTGGACCCAAACAACTTGCCCCCCAGACCCGATTTGGAAGGATGACGGGTCGGGTTTGATTTAATTCAGAAAAGGAGGGAAGTAAATGATTTAATTAATCCAAAAATTTGAATTTAAACCGTAATTAATGAGATAACAACGGTTAAGGCGGATGATTGTGGAAGTTGGACGGATAATGGGCAGTTTAATCACAAGATCATGTGTTTAACGGTTACTTAGTGGAGTATTTAAGAGAAATTAAAACGCAGACTCCTCGTATCCCATTCCTGGAGATATAAACAGAGGCGCGTCATCTCTCCTCACTTATTCACCAACACAAACCCAGAATTCTTGAGAGAGAAACCAAGAACCCGCATCAAAACTTCGCAAATTCCCCGAGCATTAAGCTTAGAAACTGAGACTTGCCACTACGAACTCGTAAATCGGCAACTTTCGCTTCAGATTAAGGTAAATTCCTTTGATTTCAGTTTATTTTTCTTCGAATTCGAACTCCTTCCCCTTTTCTTTCGACTTTTTTCTTCGAAATAATCAATGGCAAGAGGAGTTAGAGGTAGAGCCCATGCTCCAAGAAGAGCAAGGCCGATTCCCGATCCTAGGAACAGGATTGGGACCTGGAATGGACAAAGGCCAGAGTCTGACCCTGCTGAAGGGATTAGGGCGACTCCCCTTTCCTCGGCTCCTCCTCAGAGAACGGAGGAGCCGAGCGCTTCTGGACGGGATGATGAAGTTCCCGCTGTCCTTTGGGATATCCTCCCCGGGTTTTCAGAATGGGAGAATGCCGAAGTTGCTTCGGCCATGATAAAGAACCGCCCCTACCCATGGTGGGTGGAGAATGCCGATCAATATCGATTTGCCGAGCAAATTGAGTTGCATTACGGCATTTTTGAAGCTGATGGGTATTGGTGCCGAATGCCCTCGGCATCCGATAGAATCCATCGTCCACCCCCGGGGTATGTGGGGGTGTACACAAGACAGCTTCAGTACGGGCTGAGGTTCCCTTTGGACGTATTCGTCCGAGACTTGCTGATCCATTACAACATCTCTCTATGTCAGTTAACTCCCACCAGCATCCGAAGGGTGATGACATACTTATGGGTCTGCAAGTTCTTCAAGTATGTGCTGAACCTGCACTGCTTCAAAAAGCTCCATCGGCTAGTGCCAAATATTCAAAGTGGGCACGGAAGCCATGGTTCTGGGTGGTACCGGATTGAGTCCCGGCCCCAATACCTAACCATGTGGCCAAACGACTCTTCAGACAAGGACTGGAGAGGTCAATGGATTTGGGTTAGGGCACCCACAGATCCGGGCCACCCTTGCGTCTTCAGCGCTCCCCGGTACCTCGCTGAGCCTGATCCCGAAATGGGAAGTCTAGGTCCCCCCGCAGATAACGGGGCGGATCCGAACCTTGATCAGCAACATATCTTCGGCAAGCTGCCGAACCGGGGGGGCAGTGGCCGAATGCAGCATATCCCGGAGACTTGGCTCCCCGATACGCATTACGTTTTCCAAGAGAACATGCTAGCAGCTGTTGGCCTCAGCCGAAAGTTTAAGGATGGTAAGCTTCTTCGGCTGGGGCCGAGGCTTTTAAACTATCTCTTTTTCTTCTCTCGCTTCGCTTTTTTATGCTGTGCCAACCTATCTGAACTAACCTTTCCCCTTTCCTTTTTCAGAGCGGGACGAGACCAACGTTGGCATTAACTACGCTCGTCTTGGTGTCAACCGAGAACGAGTTGTAACTGAACGGGCCCCGTCTATCACTGAGCCGAGGCATAGGGAAGTTCATCTAGACTCTTCCCACTTCCAAATTAAGGCTGTTGCTCTGTATCAGAGGCAGAAGCCTTGGTGGAAGAAGAGAGACCCCTGGTTTCAGCTGCTGGACGAAGAAGCTGAAGCTGCCCCTACAGCCGAAGAGGTTGCACGGGTTCTCAAAGCTTGCGAAGGAGGAGAAGGGTCCTCCAGAGCTGCTGAAGCAGAAGCTGCAGCTAGAGCAGCTGAAGAAGACGAGGCTTTGCTGAAGACCTCGGTGAGCTTTCAGACTTAACTTTGTCTTTCTTTTTTCTTTTTTCTTTTTTTTTTTTTTTTACTCACATTCTTCCTCCCCCCTGTCTGTTACAGTCTGAAGAGAGTAACAGACATAGAGAAGGGAAAGCTCCTGTTCGTCCCGAAGACCAAATACAAGGAGAGTCTTCAGACTCAGATATGGACGAGCAGCCCCTTCAGAAAAGGCGCCGAAGGATGGCCATCATCGGCCCTCATGACTTTCAGCGGAGGTCGATGACCATCGGCGTTGCAATAAGGGAACCCGAGGAAGGCAATGGATCGCCGAGGGTTCCCCGGCCACCACCCCAATCACCTCAAAAGACCCCTCCGCCACCTCCTGAGATGGAGGTGGATCAGAGAACTCCCGAATCTAAGGGAGCGGTCCAAGAAGAAATTAAGGAGAGTGCTGCTGAGCACGAAAACAAGGATGCCGTGATGTCCAGTGCTGAGGGCTTCACGGCAAACATCGCAAGAGAGGTTGAGGCTTTCGTCCTCACCCCTGAAGAAGAGGAGGTCATAGTAATTGACTCCTCTGAGAAGGATGATGCTGAGCCATCCAAAGCTAATCAAGCTCCATCGTCATCCTTCCCTTCCTTCCAGACTCTGCAATCTGGAGAAATGGGTTTCTCGGCCCCCCGAATTCCAATCCCAGACCACATCTGGGACCTCATATGGGGTCAGAACCGAGAAGGAGCTGCAGCCTACTTCGGCGATTTTGCTGGCATGTCCGAAGTAGATAGGGCAAGGATCTGGTCGCTGAAGGCCACTGCTGGGATGGGCGAATCCAGCAGATCAGTTCCTGACCCAGCCAGGTCTAACCAACTGCTGATGATGCAGGTAATTTTCCTTGTCTTCATTTCCTCTGAAAT